TTATCACTGAATAGATGTCTATATGTGGGACCAGAGGATGGGGGGAAGTTCAGGATGAGGATTAGGCAATACTGGATACCTAGCAAAATCATGGGCAGTCTAGCACAATGAGTCATTCTGACATCTGTTCACCTTCACTTTGTTGAATCAGATAATCCTTGCAGAGGTTTATCTGTGTAAGTAAAATCTGAAACTTTATTATATCTTCTTGCTTCCTTTACATTGTATTTTTATCATTTCTCTTCTTATGTTTCTAAATTCGGAATTATTTTTAAACAAGGCATGTTTACATATTTTAGAAATAAAAAAACAATCTTGCTAAAATCTTTGTCACATTGAGGATTCTTTTTGCAAATGGGTTCCTGACCTTAAATATGGTGTTTTTCAAAAAAGGGATGGAGATACTTAAAAAACTTCCATGCCAAATTTTTCTTTTAGAGCAGAATTTTGTACAGCTGATGGGCATCAGAAATATCATGTTTGAATATCTGAGGAGATCCTACTCACTCTCTAGGCCATAGCTCATCAGCTATGAGGCATAATGGACCCAGAGATCCTGCCTAGTTTATTGAATGTCTAAAGGGATATAAAAGAAATGCCCATTAGAATCCTTAAGATGATATTATCCTATACTCAAGATTAAATTAGTTTCACCAGAAGGAGATGTGTCTCATTGCCAAAGTCTATGTTATTAAAACATTTTAAATGCCACATCCTATAGATCTATGAAGTATTGAAAGGTGACCCATCTGTCTAAAATACATCTCTCTTTGACCTTGAAGACATTACCAAATTTGACTATAAGTTTGGCTGTAGTTTTTGACTATTTACTAACCTCCATTTTCTTTTTAAAATTTTATATTGGAAAGGCACTTATTTATAAATCTATCCCCCAATTCCCTTGCCCTCCTGTCTTCCCATGCTTCCCACTGATCCCTCAACCCCCCCACCGTCTACTCTCCAGGGGATTATCAAGCCCAAAATTTCATTGGGGGGCTCCCAGGCCCTCCTTTCTGTATCTGGGCTGCAATACTACCCATCCTTAGGGAATGGGCCCCCGAAGTCCATCTGTGACTCTCCAGTAATAATGATAACTTTCAAGGACTGGAAATTTGCATTTTATTGATAAATCAATGTTAGGTACAATACTGTGAATACGATTTGAAATACATTAATCTCAAATTAATATCAATATACAATATCTGAATATAATTTATAATAGTCCAATCCAAGGTAAACTATTCAAAACTGGTAGTTACTTTTTAAATGTAGACACAATAACCTACTTTTTCATCTTATCATATTTATATCCTCCATTTTTTCTTTTGAGAGTAGATTCAATAATCTATCCCTCTTATCCTATCATATATCATTTCTTTTTTTCATTCAAAATGAAAATCTTGAATCTAATGCTGTTTGTTTAACTTTCTTCCTGACTATAAACAAAACCCTTTTTAACCAATTCCCCTAAAATTATATTCAAATAATAAGTTATCAGAAACCACAAACCCCACCTCTTGTTAATGTAGGTGTCTTAAACTTAAATTTACTTCTGCTGTCTGGGTGTGACAGCATATTTTGGGGACCCTGAAAAGAAAAATTTGGATTAACTCTCATGCTGTATCATTACTTTATGTTGGAAGATTATTCATTTCTTAAATCTATTGATACCATTTCTAGTCAGTTTTTACAGTAGAGGAGATAATGCATCACTTTTTCTTATTCTTCATAAATGTTATTTAAATTAGAAACAATCTTATTGTATTTATCAATCCAAGCTTCCTCTCACTCCCACCCTCCCATAACCCCCACCTACCCCCAACTGACATCCCGCATCCCATTCCCAATCCCCTCCCCAGGGAATATGAGGCCTTCCATGAGGGATAATCAAAATCTGTCAAGTCATTTGGAGCAGGGCCTGCCCTTTTCTGTGTATTTTTGTCCAGTCTAACCATAATGAGAAGGTACAGGGCTTGTCTCAAGTCCTGGTTACAGTAGTTTGAGAAGCTGGATCATTTAATCTACCTACCTTGAATTAGTTCTGAGCATTATCTGTGAGGCTGAATCATCTCTGATGATTATTACCTCAAAATTGTTCTGAGTAATTTGTAGTAAAAAGCTGATCTTAGTTGTCATTGTTCAGCTTAGTGTTGCTATCATAGTCCTGGTGAAATTGTCATCTGTTGGGTTCCATCTTCTTTTTCTTTTAGTTTAAATATGTTTCTTTTGTTGTTGTTATTATTATATTTTTCAAGACAGGTTTCCTCCATGTTAACAATCCTGGATGTCCTGAAACTCACTTTGTAGACAAGGCTGGTCTCAAATTCACTGAGATATGCCTGCCTCTGTCTACCAAGCTTAGATTCAAGCTTCTTTTTGGAGCCTTCAGAGATCACATTAGGTCAGATTATTCCTTTTCTTGGTAATTTTTTGCAGGTAGCTCTCTCTTCTTTCCTGAATGCTTATTTGTTCAAAGGATTTTAATTCTTCAAGACGGTTGTTTTAATTTTTCTGAAAAGCACAAAAAACCCCATCCCCCATATAACTTTGGGAAGGTTCCTAATATAATCTTTATCAATTTGATTTATGGTTTCTCCTGAATTTCTTTTGTTTTCTCTTCCAAAGCTCTTCTATCATCCAGAGCAGTATGTTTTCTTACAGTAATGCATTAAAGTTTTAAGTTGCTCTGGGAATGTGTTACCTCCATGGTTGCAGGGAATATTCTACATTTCTTAAGTATATTAATCCTTATAGATTGACATCGTGTGATTATCAAGATGTAAAAGTGTCAGTCGCTTGTCACTCAAACCTCCACTGAAGCCCTAACAGAAGAATGAATCTGCTCAGCTAGGGCCCTTTTGTGAGCACTTTGCATAACCATGGCAACCCACAGGAGGTACGTAGTAAAGCAAGGGGTGTTGGCAAATAGGCCCTGGCACTTCACAGCATTTGCCATGCTCTGGCACTGAAAAGCATCCCAAGTCTAAAGATACATTTTCTTCTCTATCATGGAGCCACAGAGCACAAGGTGGGAATTACAGGAGGAAGCTAGTAACGTATTATTCAAGGCTGTGAGGACACATCATACTCTGCTGTCTGGCCATTTGTAAAGACTTTCCCACTGTTATCTGGGCGTGGAGCTGCTTCACTCTGGATTTGGTGAATTGGTTAATTGCTTTTTCTTGTTACGCACATAAATTTCAGGATTTAAAAATAAACAGTTAATTAGATGAGACTAATGTCTTGTACCATAAACTGAGTCGAGAGGTTTGTACCAAGTGTTAATTGTTTAAGGAACTTGAGTAGAGAGAGCCAGAGTACTGTGTTATCAGCTAGACCTGGCAAGAGAGTCTGGCATAGGAATATAGGTGGCCTTTTTGTCTAAAAAGAACTTATTTCCATAACCCATACTTCTGTAATTCTGCCCTTGTGCATGATCTGTGAAATTTTAACTTACGGTCTGCTCACAGACATACTCAGTCTAGTTAATTGTACTTTGTTGCTTTGTCAGCAAGGGAATGATGCAAAATAGGCTTCTAATTTTCTTACCATTTGTGAATCATAGGTTTTACTGTAAAGGGATATTTTATTCACCAAAATTACATAGTATGGTAGAAATTCCTCCTCCTGTCAATTCAAGGAACAATAGTGTCCAATTGATGGGGAACACTTTGTCAACAGTTGTGGGAAGAATCCCATGGTCATTAGGGGAGATGTCATGGTGGCACACAAGAGAATTTCGGATGGAAACAGTGTGTTATTCATTGGCAATGGTTTAATGAAAGTTTCCTAAGAGTTTATCCTCCATCAAATAATTATTCATCTTGTGGACTGACCTTATGAATATCAGGTATCATCTACTGTATAATTTTCCAGATCTAAACAAGAATGAGTTTGGGAATTCTGACCCAAGCAAGATAAATGTCTGAGCAGAAGAAGATAGCTAAGCAAAGGATAATAAAATACATAGCTGAGAAAGAGAATGCATAATGGTAATATTATATAACACATGGGACAAACTATAAATAAAGCAGCAATATCTTATTAATGGACCTTGAGAGCTTGTTTGGAGGTTCTAGAAGGGGAGCGCAGCTACTCATATACCCTTGACCGAAGACCGGTCCTCCTCTGTTCGGGGAAGGTCGTCCTCTTCGACCGAGCGCGCAGCTTCGGGAGGGACGCACATGGAGTGGTGAGGGAGGAAGGGGACACCCGCCTAGCCAGCCAGATCAGCCGAATCAACCCTGGCGATCAATGGGGTGACAGATGTCACAGCCAGATCGCCCTCACATCCAATATCTTATTAATGAAGAACTACATAAGTATTCTTTTATAAGGCACTCTAAAAAGGCTGGATTTGGTAGGTAAATGGTGTCATTTACTGATTAGTTTCAATTTTCTAAAAATTATTTCTCATAAGAATTTATGTGATATCAGAGGTTAACAAGCATAGAATTAGAAGCACAGTAAATATAATGTCAAAAAACACAAATAAAACTTGAAGTTATAACACAGTGTTACACTTCAATGAACACAAACTGAAATCCAATATATTTGAGTAACATTTGGTATGTTTATTTATCCCTCAATTTTCATTGTCATTTGTAGGACAAATAAGGTAGAAAAACATCACATATTTGTTTTATGTAAATATGTGTATATTATATTCATAACCTTCCTGAAGCAATTTTGAAGATCTATGTTTTGAAAAACATTGCTCTCATTAACAGGAATATTTAAAAAATAGTGATTATCTTGAGGCATAGAAATATTGGAAATAGGAAGGAATTGGGCATTTCGGGGCTTGCTAATGGGTCCTCAGAATGATTCTGGAGAAGTTACGGGCCAATGAGTGGTTATATCCAACTCACCGATTCTCAACCACAGTAACCAGAGACTGAAGGGATGAAGGGAAGATGCACACCTTGTGCTTTCTATGATCTTCTAAATGATAACTGGCCTGGGCATATAATACCAGAATCACAGCAATGTACCATTTATTACAACTCTGAATGTGACATTCGAGACCACAACTTGCGCAGAGTGCTTTTCATCTCAGTGTTCCTCAGAGTGTAGATGAGGAGATTCAGCATGGGGGCAATCACAGTGTAAAAGACAGAAATTTCCTTATCCTTATTCTCACTTCCTGCAGGTAGAACATAGGTATAAATCAAGGGCACAAAAAATAAAACGACCACCATCACGTGAGAACTACAGGTTGAGAGAGCTTTGTTTTGCCCTACAGATGATCTTGTCCTCAGATTGTACCGAATGTGCATGTAAGAAGCAACTAGTACAAGAAAAATCGCAGCAACCACCATCTCAGAGTTGGCAATTACTAAAATATTAACAACATGAATATCTTTGCAGACCAGTTTCAAAAGAGGCTTGATATCACACAGGTAGTGACTGATGTGGTTGAGACCACAGAAAGGCAGGCTGAGCACCATGAGCAGTAAAGCAATGGCGTACCAGAACCCCACAGCCCAAGCCATGACAATCAACATATTACATCTCTTCCTGTTCATGATAGCCAAATAGTGCAGGGGCTTGATAATGGCAACATAGCTGTCCAGGGCCATGCACACCAGGATGAAGATTTCCACACCCGCCAGTAAGTGGGCAGCGAAGAGCTGGGTCCTGCATTCATTACGGGAAATGTTTTTTGTTGCTGCAGCCAAGTACTTGATGAGCCTGGGAACCATAGTGAGGGTGTAGCAGAGGTCCATGAGAGACAGGTAACATAGGAAGTAATACATTGTTTGCTCGATCAACTGACTGTAAGTGACGGTGAGGAGTATGACAGAGTTCCCCAGTAACACAGCCAGGTAACAAAGCAGGAACAAGAGAAAGAAAAGAAGCTCTAATTGTTTGTTTTCCCAAAGGCCCATAAAATCAAACTCTGTGACATTTTTATGATTTTTCCATGAGCTCTATATGAGCAAACAATGACCATCTGAAACTTAGTTCATCTGAAATTAAACATAATTAATGGTACAATTTTGATAGATCTTTTAGCTTTACAGAGATTTTTAAATCAAATGACAATCTTCATATTATATTTTTAATAAACATCAATTTAAAATGCATAATCATATTCCCAATGCTTAATTAAATACAATTAATAATTACTCTATGCCATTAAATTATATATACATATATACACATACATTTTACACATATTTAACTCATATAGAACCAGTTGTGTTCTATTCTGCTTTACATATTACACGGGAAGAAACATATAAGTGGCAGGTGTAGGCCAATTATAGATATCCTTAAATATGAAGCAGATCTGTGTGCTGCATATATTTCCTGCTGCCATCCTATTATTTGCACAGTAATATTGTCCAATAGTATGGAGAATTCTACTCATTTTTCTTTCTTGGGAATGAAAAAGGCTTATATCACATTTTGTCTATCATTCATGAAATATAAAATACTTGAGACTTCTTTCTTCTGAAATTTCACATATAATTTATCTGTAATAACCCCAAGTCACATTTAGCATTTCATACATCCTATGACATCGATAATCATTTTCCAAAAGGTGCAAATTCTTTTTTTCATATATGCCTTATTTAATAAATTGCATCAGCTATATTTCATATTGTAATTTCTAATCACACCAACAACATAGCATTGAATTAGCTGAGAAGACTCTCAGTACTCCTTTGAAATTTCCAAAAAAGTTGAAGACACAGAATGTCTAGGAAAGAGGTGTTTGAGGTAACTACATGTCCGGCATTTAAATAGAAAGGACAATTATTTGTATTTCTCTACAAACATAATGGCATGTTTTAGAACTAATTGCTTACGTATTAGGGTCACTCCAGGGACATGTTCATTTCCTAGTGTCATGACCTTCTTTTTAAATGGAGTGGTAGTCTTGTGATGTTGACATCTTGGATCATAAATGGAATAAGTGAATGAACCAAGTTTTAATAGCATTTAAATGCTCTCCTTAGTAACTTTATTTCTTATAGATTATATATTTAAAATAATCTGGGTTTTCAGTAGAAGTGTTAAAGTCAGTAGCTTGCCCTAAGAGCATCAAGGTCAGATTCTGTGAATTTATTTTTCTCTAAATGAGCAAATATATTAGTTCCATGCTCCCTGCTTCAAATGGTGAGAAGATATAGTGTTCTGACCTTTGTGTTTTCCTACAAGGAGATTAGTTAACCTGCCATTAAACAACTATCAAGTACACTTAAATTATGCCTTTATATATGTTATTTCCAGGTTCATATTTTATGGAATGATATCTGGAATGGAGATCCAAAAATGTGCATAAACAAGAGACTCAAAACTGTAGAAAGCACAAGTCTTAATAGTGAAAATGTTTCCTAGATATTGTAATTATGAAACTCTTTTAACATGCAAATTCAGGGCTTTCTTACCTCCTATGATCAAATTGTCTAACCATATCAAGATCTGTATAGACAAAAAATGCTCCAAGGCTATTTCATAGAATCCTAGAAGTCCAGTGAAATCATATCATTTTTTGAAACATCCACATTTCCTATTCTATCCCAAACTCCCTTTGTTCTCTTTTTAGTTTGACTTTTAAGAAAGCAAAGAAGGAAGGAGGAGCAATAGGTAGGGAAGACATAATGTGGTAAAGAAGAGAGGAATGAACAAATGAAGGATGGTAGGGAGGGAAGGAGGTAGGATGTCATATGCTTATTTGGTTGGGGTCCAGCTTTGAGGATATGTATGCTTTATCAAGCCAGATAATTTATAGCATTAAGACAGGATCTACCTATTGAGTCAGAAGCATGAAGTGGATCAATATGTTGCATACAAGTCAAGGAAATGGGGGGAATTCTCATGTTCCTTTATTAGCCTTTTTATGTATAGGTTTTTGCTATCCTTCTGCTCTTTCATCTATCCTGCTACCATTCCATCCTATCTAGCTGGTCTCCTTCCTCTACTTACAACAGTCCCTTTGTGACTGTCATGTCACATACCTGTTTTTCTCTTGTTGATCTTTTTATTCCTATAATACTGAAATCAGTATCTCCCTCATCGCTCTCTCACCTCTCTCCTTTTTCTGTCTCTCTTGCCTGTTCTGCTTTCTCTGTCCCACTCTTCATCTCCCCTTTCTCATCCCTTCCTATGCCATTCTGCCTTTTTCTACTTTTCTATACCGCTCCCATTCTCTGCCATACCTCTTTTCAGTCTTCCCTCTCTTTCTTTTCCTTTTCATATCTTTCTCACATGCACACAAACTTATATAATCAGATTTAGAGTAATCTCATTTCACCTTATTTAGTAACAAACCTTTTATCTCAAACATTTTCTGAAAGTCTTTAATTTAATATTTTAAATTGGAAAGGCCTCTGAAAGACATTGTTTACAAAGCTCTTTACTGCACCATAACTAGAAAAAAACTAGGAATGAAGGACAACATTGAAGTGTAACTCTTCAGACTTAAAAGGTTAAGGACATGAAAATATGTTACTAGTGTTAACAGGAATATTATTCTATGATTTTTCTGACACTTTGAAAGCTCACCTTATTAGTGGAAAATGTAAAACAACTATATGTAATCCCAATGGCTTGTGCAATAAAAAGAAAGGAGTTTACATGTTTCATAGCTAGCAATAATAATCCTTTGAATATAGTATTAAGTAGTATTCATAACTTTTCTTATTTTACTTCATGATACCTGATGATACCTATGTCAATGTATTTCTTCCAGTTTAGTAAATAGACATACAATGGGACAGGGCTACAAATGAACAAACAGGAGATAAGTACCTCAAACATGTTTGCATTTCTCTGAAGATAGTATTTCAAAAAAAATAACTTAAAACCTTGGGTATCAAGCCAATTTTCCTTACAATTGTCATATAATTTTAAAATGTTATTTTAAAAAAAACTGTAAGCAAATAAGTCATGAATTGAATTCATAAGCATGATTTATTAATATCAAATTTATACAGTAAAATCAAAACTCAATAGATTTCTATTGTATAGATGTAAATATAGATATAGATATATATGCACTATTTGCAAAACTTACTACTGCCAGTATCCAATTTTTCAAGTCTATCACATGTTTTAAAGTAGTTCGTCTTTCTCTCCTGTGACTTTTACATAAAAATTGTGAGAAGCACCTATCTCTCTCATGAATCTTTAATTAAATGTAGCTTTTCAAGATTTATTGCCTGAAATACTTTAAACCAAAAGATGGTAAAACCCAAGGGGAACTGCCTCAGGGGTACTTTTTGCAACATCTGGGCTGTTGTTACAACAGTGCAGGTAAACCCAACCTTATTGAGTGGTCACGTAGTGAAGATTTCTTTTATTCATTTATTAAATCTATGCCATAAATACTCTATTGTTTCTGTATGACATTTTTCTTTTTCCCAGAAATTTTCCTCAAAGTCTGAAACTGCTGCTTTGTTGTGTGTATATGACATATCCAGCAAACACTAGATTGTTTCTAATCAAATTTTTCACCATACTGAGTATAACTTAAGACTATTAATGTTACCTTCATATGTGTTACAATAAAATCATTATTATCATGAAGGTTTGAAAATACTTCCTGTCTACTTAATTATTTCTACCAAAAATTTGGAAGACATACGCACTACTGTCTTTTTATAGGAATTCACTAGCATCAGTGTAAGACTTTTCAACTTATGCTTAAGTCTGGATTTTTAATTTATGCTAAAATCTGGATTTAAAAAATAATTTTCAACTCATGCTAAAGATTGGATATAAAATAGAAATGATAGTCTATCACAGTAAAATGTATCTGTAATCATCCATCATTCAGAAGGCTGAGACAAGGATATTGCTGTGAATTTTAACCCAACTTGGCCAACCTTTTGAGTTGTACTCCAGCCATGACTATATAATAAGATCCTGTCTTAAAATAGAAAAGAATGCACACACACACACACACATGCACACTCAAACACACACACACAAAACAAATAAAATAACAGTGGTACACTTGATAGGATTTTCTAGTAATCTTGGAAATATTTTGCACTAATATGCTATCCTCAAATATTTGAAAATAGCATATTAACCACACATTCATGGATATTTCCTCTTACTGAATTTGAAGTTAATTTGTTTTAATTTTTCCTTCTTTTTACTTGCCTTGATTAGTGCAGTAAATTATTTTGTCTGACATATCTATATTTAGATATTTTCTTTGTATCTTCAGTTTTTACATATTATGTGCACTGTTTACTTAATTTCCTTTTACAAGATGAAAAAAAGCCTGTTCCTTAAAAAGAAACTGTTGCTAAGAAGGCTTTACATGAGTATCCTCATGTAATTTGATTATTAAATACCTATATAGATACATCTGCTGCCAGACACTGGATAGTTTTTTTTCACTTAGTAAAGGGCTATTAAAATCCTTAACATTATTTAAACATATTGTACTTTAACGTGTTTTAGAATTTTTTGATGCCTTTCTTTGTCATTAAAAGCAAACAGATAAACAAAATTTTATATTACATGCTACAAACTAGAGTGGACAATATAAGCAAGTAATATGAGCATCTAGAAGTGACAAAATGAAACTTAGTTTCCCTTATGGATAGCTGAAGTTAGCCCATAACAGAATAATGCAAGCGTGAACTATACATTCGATTGTAATAAGTGACTAATTACTAACTTGAAGTTCCTTATTATCCTAAATAGTTGGTACTTTCAAGGGCTACGTATTTGCATTACATTTTAAAATGAGTTGTATACCTACAATACTTGAACTTGCTTAGAATTGTATATACACTGTGTTATAAGAAAATCAATCTAAAATTTGTACAATATACAAGATTTGTATACAATATGCAAAAGTGTAATATATAAACTATTAGTTACTTATTAGGAGTACATTTCATAATCTAACCTTTTGTCCTATCATACCAGTATTCCTCTTGTTTTCTTCACAAAATAGGAACCCTGAATCTAATTTCCTTTTTTTGTTTTTCCCTGGTCATTATCAATAACAACTTGTCACCACAATAAACAATGACAAATATCCATAACCACTTAAACAAAAAAACCACTCACGCCAGCTCTTGGGAATGTGGGCATCATATTCTTAAATTTTTTCCCTGCTTACTCGGGCAACAGCATTTTTGGGATATCTTGAAATGAAAAATTTTGGCTAATTGTCAAGTCCTGGGAGAGGAAGCTGTACCATTTGTTGTCCAGTCTCTGCATGGAGTGGGTAAATGTGGGCTTGTCTCAAGTCCTGCCTCGAGAAGTCTGTGAGGTTGGATAATCTCAACAACCCACCTTGAGTAGTTTGTAGTACAAAGCCAATATTAGGTGATGTTTTTCAGTTTAGTAGTGTTACTACAGTCCTGCTGAAATTGTACTTGTTGTACAGCATCCTCCTTTAGAGTACTTCAAAGGTCACTGTTAGTCATGGTCATGGTCATGGTTCACTGAAGAAAAATGATAGACACTGATGACCAAAATCCTTATAAAGACGGTAGATGTAGCCTTTTTCTAAAATTAAGTAATATTCTATATGACCATTATTGTCATGACAAAAAATGTAAAAACTACAAATATATTAATCTTATAAATTTTGAGATAATATTTATACCTTAAAAACTATAAATAGGAAAATAAAAACAAAGGATTATGAGATTAGTGCCAATATGATAGTCCCTGAATTTTTGTTTTTCTTCTGTCCCATAATAGGTGATTTTATGACTTGAGACAGATATTTTAGGCATTACTTTAGCAAGCATGCTTTGACTTAGAGAAGGAGAGAACCACATTCCAACTCTAATACTAGCATTCGGCTTTATATTACAAAGAGCAAAAAAAGATTCATTTTCTTAGATATAAATGCTTGAGCATTATTGTCTCTCTTAATTTGTGCAGATATACCAATGGTGGCCATAACTTCCAGCAAATGTGTATTTATAGAATCCGCCTTTTTCAAACTCAAAGCAGTTGCACATTGAAAACCTGAATAGGTACCAATGATGCGCTGTACATATTTTAATTGTCCAAATTCTGAAACATCTGCCATATTCCATTCCTTTGAGTTACTTCCAACAGATAGTGGAGTTTAGTATATAAAGAACACGTAGGACCTATTCATATAATTTCCTTGGCTTGTGATGGAAAAAAAATTTAAACTCTTGCTATTGACATGATGTTTTTATGTAATTCTGAGGCCTCAAATTAATAGTTGATCAAGTTCTTCATTACCTTGTTCTAGAGGGCCTGGCAGGCACATATGGAATCAGATTATATATATATATATATATATATATATATATATATATATATATATTCCTATTCCTTACTGATTGGAAAGAGGGTCAGTGCCCTGCAGGATGAGGGGGACTTCCTCGGACAGGATGCTGCTTTGGTCCAGAACACTAGGCAGTGAGTTGTGACAATGGGTCCTGTGGACCATCACCACTTTTGTGCATTTATATTTTCTATTCCTGATTAGTTCTTGTAACTGAATAAATAATTATCTCAATTCTGTGTAATCAATTTTTAATTCAGTGGTTTCAATATGCAAATCAAATTTCTACATAATGCAAATAAGTAATTTTATAAATTTTTTCTTTAAAATTTATTAGGACCATGACTTTTGGACATAATCATAAGGTCTTTGAACCACCTTACTTAAATTTTCTGATTCATAGCCTAGCTTTCCTGAACCTTTTTGCAAAAGTAAACAATTTAGGGGTTTCAGATATTGGTATTCACCCATATAATGCAAGGAAAGATAATGTTAGTTCTCTTTAGGAATTGAATTCTCTTGCTTTGGGGATATGTTTTGTTACTCTTTCCCAAAAATATTTTTTCAAGCTCCTCCCCAAGGTTCACTTTCAGCTCATAATTTTTCAGTTTCATCATTAATAAAAGATACTAGAATTTCTGATGGGTATATAACTTCTATTCAATAAAGTCTCAATTTTCCTTTACACATAACATTTTAAAATATTAAATCTCTTCATTAGGAAGAAAATTCATTATAAGATAGTAGCTACCCTCTATCTTAATATTCCCTTGAGAGAATGGTTATGCGGCAAAATAACCAGAATGCAATCAATCTCTGGATCCAAACTATACACAAGTGCAT